AGTTCTGCGAGTTCTTCATCCTCGACTTAAACTTTTTGCATCCGTCTGCGCTCTCTCGAGAGATCCAAGGACGAAGTTCGCAATTTTCAAGGACTTCGTCAATTCCCATCGGACGAAGATTCGCGAGGGAAATACAAGCCAGTAATTAGACGGCGGGTTCTATTGTGTACGATAGCGCATTGCCAATAATGAAAATTGCTCCGAGCGAAAGTGTCTCGGCGATACATCCAACAATATTGATCCCAGAACTACGTTGCGCTCTGGTACGGTTGACGTATCGGTATGGCGCAACAGAAGTTGCGCGTAAAATATCGAATTGCCCGCTACCACAGGATATTTTCATTTACTTTCCAAAACAACCATTTTTTCCACGTATTCAAAGTGGATCAGCCTGAAAGTCACGTTTTACAACCAAACGACTTCCCACCGGTGTGTTTACGACAGCAACAACTGTATTGTTTCGTTGTTTCGGAATAAACAACAGTTTTCTTATACGACAACAACAACAATAGCACGAACCAATCATAAAATTCTAAACAAAGATTCCTGACTACTTTTGGAATTGCGAGAAAAAAAAATATCGTAACTGTCATTGTACAGACTCCGTACAAGTTACATTCGCAAATTGCAATGTGTATGCAGCGACTTAACAATCGGACTGTACTACAGGTCGGTCACGTAGACTTGCGGATCGGAGCGTAGGAAAAGTAAAAGTTTAAGATCTGGAGAAAGCCTGCTATCTCTGCGCCTAGCTAGCCAGGACTGTCCGCAAAATCTTCCTGGCGCAAGGTGGAAATGGAAAGGAGCGAAATGGAAGTATGTACTGTAGATACCTAGTAGCCACCAACGTACAGTATATACATCCAACTGTACATACGCACAAGTAGACACGTGGAACCCTTAGGAAATGTTTATACAGTCTGTCTGGCCCAGAGAGGTTTTCCTGTGGCCATTGTTAATGCGGCTTTAATGTATGTACTTTGTCAGTTGTGCTTGTCTATTTGGCATATATATATATATATAATACGACACATTCATACAGGCTGTTTCAGAAATTCAAGCAACCCCGACGGAACGACTGACGTCATATCGTCTCGTTTCGTTAAAATACTGCTTGAAGTTTTCGTGTGAATTATTTCAATCCGGTATAACTTGTTCGTATTAATAACTGACTGTTTATTTAAAATTTATATATCGGTCACGATCACTTTTGATGGATCCTGTATCGTTCTATATACAGACACAGACTATATTTCATTTGAAACATGAAACACCCGATACATAATTTCAATGAATCGATTAGTTATAGGAATAAAAAAAATTAAACTAATAAAACTGATTGATATTGACAATTGGTAAAATCAATTTTGGAGAGAACCGATACATTTATAATAATTAGTGAGAAATCACATAGTAAAAGTTAATCGACACACTTTCGTTAATTGGTATGCGAAAGAGTAATACGGAACCTGATTTGAATCCGGTAACGCGACTGCTGACACCAATCAGCAAGTGGCAGGGTCATCGGAGGTCAGCCTCCGCGGAGACGTAAAGGAATTGAAAAATTTGACAGAAAATCGGTTATGCCAATAAGCGGCAACCTTACGGCTGTATACCTGTTTTACATAATTATCCATTTCCGCATGGGAGGATCCGTGCTTTCTCCATAATTTTGCTTTTAAATAACCGCTATAAAGAATATCGTGCAAGTGCCACTTTCGTCTGACACCTTTTTTTTTTCGCACAAAAAGAGCGAGTAGCACAAGAGGTCAGTGAATAACGCGAATAAACAAGCTTTTTATAATACGGCGCTTCTTTTACTCTCTCGATTCATCCATTAAGCCATCGATCGATCAGCTAGTCGCCATAAATAAATCCGGCTTTAATAGCCTCCCCTTACCGGGTTAATGCAACAAGAGTTGTTCTTGACGAAACAATAGGACAGATCTAAACAACAACAAAACTTTGAAACGTACAAGGCAACTTCGTTGTTGCTGTTGCATCGAATTTCATGAATTACTTGTACAACGCCCGAGGCCGTCGACTAATGAAAACAAAAAAAAAAAGTCAAAAGTGGAAATAAAATGGAAACGAGGCGAAAGTGAATTCGGACGTTCGTCAAGTTCAATGGACGTGACTGCCGGTTAATTTAAAGGGCGCGGAAGTCGAGTGCAGCGACGCGACGCCTTAAGGACGCAAATAAATATGAAAGCCGTCGTTGCGGATCTCGACGCGGAGTGACGAGCAAATGCCGTAAGAGACGATCGAGTGGCTTTTTCGTGTTGCGCTTTCGGAAGAAAAAAAGAAGAAAGAAAAAAAACGAAAAAGGTGACTGAGTGGAACAAGAAATTGGAGCAACGTCATTTTTATCTCGAGTAACTTACAAAAACAAAATTTTTGTCACGCTTTTGCGATTGTTTCATTAAATTTTTCTTTTTGTATCATTTCGTTACTTTCCCTAATCGAACAATTCCTTTTAGATACACATACATATATATATACATGTACGTACAAATATGGATACGCATGACAATGCTACAGTATACGAGTCTCGATGAGCACACGTGTGTCGGCAAACGGACACGCACTTCCTATCCGTAATTATTAAATTGCAAGCGTCAACCTATGACGTCACGTTCCGAATACTTTATTGACACTGACAGCCAGTGAAGTTTTTCAGTGAATATCCGCCGCTCCTCTTTTTCTGCACTCCGACTCGATCGACTGTTACATATTTCACGCGAACATCAGACAGACGTGCATATTCGAGCTATCGCTGGGTGATGAGAAATTCAATAAAATCAAGGTTGGCTTTCATGAATCAATTAAAAACGAACGGCCTGCTCTTCTTCGTAGTGGAAAAATGAAAAAGAATGTCAATCAAATCGATATTTCGACTGTTCGATTATTGGACGTTATATTGAGAATAGGATTGGTGACTCGTGGGAGACTTTGTACGGTAAAGCAATTTATTAAGTCACTCTCTTTTATCTCTTTCTCTCTCTCTCTCTCTCTCTTTTATTCACTCCCTCACTCTCTTACCGCCTGGTCGGTCACTCTCAACAAATTGACCTTTAATATCGAATTATCGAGGTCAAAGAACTTTAATGGCTGCCGAGAAATATTCCAGCCGGAGTTCGACTGACAATGTAAATTGCGGTTACACGCTTCGAAAAAATTACTAATGCACATTGGAGACCTAGAAAAATTTCTATCACGATTAGCCAATACCTGATCGGAGCTCGATATTGTAACGAGGCTACCAAAGTGTACGAGCCAAAAAGTTTTCACGAAATTCTCAAGGAAGCAGAAGGGTGAAAAAAAATGTTCAGGTACCCATTTCATCGTGCACGGTCCATTAGGAATATTTCGGTTGCTTCGGAATGGCAAATAAAAAAATCATTATCAAATACTTGTAATCTCAAGTGTGTTTGGCAAGAGAGGATAAAAGAAAGAAAAAGATGAAAAAAACCTTTCGAGACCTGAACAAAGTGGTTTACGTAAACGAACATTTTTTGTTTTACGTTCAAACTGACAGCCCGTTCCGGCCACAGCGGCGAGGGAGAGAAGAGGGTAAAATTACGAAACGGGAAAGAAACTCTCGTTTATGTTTGCTCTATTAGGATTTTGACTCCTCGGCCAAACTTTCCCAGCTGTGTTAATATACAACGATGACGACTGAATTTACAGCGTGATAATTACCCATGCTGCTATGAGATTGGTTGATTTCGTAACGTGTGACGGACTAATACGTGTGAGTGCAGAATTATCTGCAACGAAAATTACGTCAGCGTTATCGCCAAGACGACCTTCTGCGTTGAGGGACTCGTGAAAATGGTAATGAGCGTGTTAAGGAAGAAATAGAAAGAAAAAAATTTGTCAGTATATAAAAATGTTTCCGACGTAACAGACTGTTTTGTGAAAAAAAAAAAAAAAAACATCAATCAACACGAGTAAGACTCAAGACTAATTTTCATGTATTTTTGCTATCGAAATACAAGCTTTGTACAAAATATACATTTTTGGGAGTCAATAAAATTTTTGACATTTTTCAAACATTATTTTTGTATAGAAAAATTTTTTTCCGACATTTTCGAACTGCATACCGAATGACTGTATAGTATGAAATTTTGTATTTCCACTTTCGTTCTAATTTTACCCACTAGCTGTTGATAAACACTTAATAGCCACGAGTTTTCAAACACGAAGTAGTGTACTGATGACTAATGATGTGGGATAATTAAAATTTGACATTTTCGTTCCATATAACAAGTTTAACTGCTAATACTTAAGCCGATTTACATTCGACCTTTAACCGATACTTAAAACACGGAGCACGAATTTCGAGTAAATCCATCGAAAAAAAGAAAAAAACCATATACTCATCGTATATTAATAGTAGTTAGGTGTGTCCTTACACGGTATTGCAGAAATCCTACCAAAGCCATAACGCAATGCTCCATAAATAGCAACAACAAAAGTCCTAACCGCACGAAGCAACAACTGTTTAGTTTTAAATATTTGATAACAACCACCAACTTTTCGTATGTACAATAAAAGTGTTGTTTATCGCGCAAACTCTACCGGCACAAAGCAATCGAGCGATCCTGAACCCACGTGTTGTATGTACATACAATTCGCTCGAGAATTTCCTGAATTGGTATCAGCTAGCGGTAAACATTATGAACCAGCGAAGCAGCCATTCGCATCTGGCTAATAACACCGAAGCGCGTCCATCCGAGCAAACCAGCAGAGGCACGCGAAAGGATCGCGCACATAGAAACTGCGCGAACTGCACCAGTACAGGTATAGTTGTAAGTCGTCCTCATAGTATTAACGTACAAGGTCAGTACTATCGTAAAGACCGTTCACGTTAAAATAGAGAATTGCGAGTCGCCGTAAAATTTAAGAGCTTGCTCCAAAAAAAATTCCCCCCAAAAAAAAATACAACCAAAAGTGGGACCCATAAGTAGCCATGGCCAATGTCAGTAGCGACAAACCTGACTGCTGACTGAAGTTGTCGACTGTACGTCGATTCAGTGGCATTCCGCATGATATCCCAAAGGACAGACAACTTCGCGCATCAGCGAAAAAAAATTGCTTCCTACTATCGACGAGAAGTAATAGTATCAGTAAACACCAGTAGCGACAGTCCTATAGCTTTACGACTCTGTAAGGTGCGAATGCCGAGAGATCCGATCGACCCTGAAGTTGCTAACGGACCCGTAACAGTCGCTAAGCATGTGACGTACGTCACAAGTCTCGCGCGCACACTACGATCAACACTGGTCTTCGTTAACAACGCACAGACGACAACTGTCGAATCAAATGTTGAAGGCACAAATTATCAACAACAAACGAAGCACAACAACACCAACCGTACTAAACACTGTAGCCATACAATGAAGATACACGGTACAAGAACAAAATCTCGTCACAGCAATTCCCCGTTATTTTATTTTGCACGAAACAACTTTTTGTTCTTGAATTCTTTTTTTTTTGTTTCCCTCCAATTTTCTCCAGACTCAATGGCGCTCACGGCCACAATCCGATTAGTCGGCTGCACTAATGAAACAAAAAACTGTCAAACACGCGCAACCGGAACCTGTTGACAGTCTGACTATCGGCGCACTTCGCGGTTTAAGCTTGACTGGCCGGCGCGATGTTCTCGAGAACCGCGAAGTGTTGTGCCTCTCCCCTCTTTTTCCCCTCCTTCCGCTATATCTCCCCCTCCCCCCCACTCCAGTCGTTCTTCTTCCAACGACCAATCGCTGGCCCACTTTTCTGTCTTACCCCTCCCCACCACCGACTATCCTTACCCCCCACCACCTTAATGAACACCACGAACACCGATACTGTCTTACGACACTAGAGAACTAGTGCCATTCACTATGGCTACTTTATCGAACTGTATAGAGCAAGTGCTATGATATTCCTGGCTTGTGGGTATCTGAGTACCGGCAGGTTCTTTACATATTTATCCCTGGTTATCTACTGTTATAGGGAGGGATGAATATTTCAACCCCCTCATTTCGCATTACATATCCCAACGATATTTACCCCGAATATGATCAAGGAGAGTGAATTCAAAATTTTTTAATATTTCTGATTCACGATCTGCTCGTTTATCTACGGTTTCTATGAGGACGAGCGGCAAATAAATACATTCACTTGTCGCTCCGACTGTACGCGGAGTTTAGTTTACGAGCGACAATAGACTCTGACTTGGTTTCGGTTCTGTTTCCAACCATGCGACAGTCGCCGGTTACATTGAACTAGGGACTTTTTGTGAGAAAATATTTTTTGCAACATTTTTTTCCCCTATCTTTACCGCGCGTATTCTTTTTTAAATTATCGATTGATAAGTGGGAGATTGATTTATTTCTTTTTTAATTATTTAATTGAATTATTTTTTTACAGTTTTATTTAATCCACTTAAAAATGATATAATGGCGTTGATAGCACACGTAGGATTAGGTTCGACTACGAAAGATTTATCCATTTATATTTCTAACCACTATCAACGATCGATACGATCGCGATAACACATCGATCGCGAAATTCATCGTTGCTTACAGGTGCAAACAAAGTCATCAACGCAAGCGGCAGCCAAAATTAGTTTACGAACGAATAAAACTACTAGGTTGTTTTCAATCGACTCGATGACGTCGAATTTCAATTTGCTTTTGGTGTCAAAAATTCAAATAGCCAATCACAGTTCCCTTTCGTTCCCACTATAGAAATTCATGCGCGTCAGGACGCCAGGCGCCGCGTAAGCGTATTTAAATCAACTGTCCATAGTTTGTTTATTTTTTTCAATATTTTTCACATTTTAAAAAAAAGTAATGATACGCCTCATCGGCTACCTTAATCGACGGGAATCCTCATTTGACAGATACAATAGTAGCGAAACCCGTAACGTAATCGCAAAAGAAAATCAAAATCAGATGGCAGTGTGGCGGCGACCTGACAAGAATTCAAAAAAAAAATAATTTACAATGAAACCAAACCTTTTATCGCACAATCTTCGTGCGATTGAAATAACAAATATTCCCACATTTTATTTTCTTATCTCGCAGTGCAGCGATAACGGTGATTCGGGAAATCGCAAAAATGTACCGTTTAACACGGAATTGAAATTAGAAATTTCCGGGAACGTCACATCGATAAGCGCCCACTTTCGAACCCGTTTACTTTATCCAGTCAGGTTAGATTGACCCAACTCAGAGTCAGATATCATTGTCAGTGGACACGACAAAGGACTTGCCAAGTACTTTCTCCTTTCTCCGATTAACACATAAATATGAACGACTACGAGGAATGACAATTAAATATAATCGTTAACTATAATGATTATAATCACGCATTGCCACGTGCTATTGTAATTATTATAAACATTAGTAAAACATTGATTTTCATCGAACCCCGATCAATTACGATGACAAAATCGATTAAGTATACGCGCTCGTTATTATAATTATATTTAAATCTGACGTCTTGCGTCATAAGTCGCCCACGTGGTTCGAACTGTCAAGCAGCCGGGAATTACGAAGTGACGTATAAGAGCGGCTGGGTTAAAAATTCCGGTTTTGCTATTTTCTTATCGGGCCACTTTAATCTGCACCGATATTTCCGCAGTCGCGAGAGCATGCCGAATGGCAGTGGGAATAGAAATAGAATTGGCAAAAAAAAAAAGAAACAATTATTATCGTACGAATGTAGGCGAAAGCTGCTTCATCGTTCGAGGATTCAATTTCGTTGGGTAAGGTTGGGTTAGGTTATGTACGTAGGTACGAAGACGAAAGGTGTTGGAGTAATTAACATTTGACATGTGGTTTGTGTAATGCATCGTATGAAATTGATATTGGCCAATCAGGCTGTTACGTCACACGCGCCCACGCCCGGTATCGCCATTGATTAAAACCCTAGAATCACCGGCAGCGTCTGGCTGAGAGATGCGGTAGAAAATAATTCGAATTACGTGTGGGTTGACGAGATGACGCCATATTGGCAATGACGGATTAAAAAAATGTATTGAAAAAAAAAAAAAGATTGACAAAATTTTATTCGTTGCGTTACGAGTATAATGTCATGGGTAATGAAATTTGAAAAATTCGTGTTCCATGGAAATTGGGATCGTTCCCGATACGTTAAGTAACCTTTCCATTGTACAGTCAATGATTTTATAACAATCATTATATGTACGCGGTGCTTGACTTTAGTATGTATAGTCGAATGCAGAGTGAGTAATTGGGTATAGCTATAACAGTGGCTGGGATGGATTTAAACCAGAGTCGAGTAGACTGTACAGTATTGAGACCGAGACCTGATTCGACATAAAGATCTGTGAGTTTTCAAACTTGAGATAAAAAAGTGAGCCTCGGGCCTCAATGTCATAAGCTGCGACGATGCGTGGCGATTCTCATTGGACTTTGCAGGTACAGGTTGATGGCAACCAACAACAACAAAAATTAAACAACCCATTGTATGGATATAGAGAGAAAAATTGTACTCTGTACTGTACGCGTGAAAATACTTGTGTTCAACAACAATAGCAGAAACAACGTGAACAATGTTTTGGAAATGACTTCCGTGATATTAGACACGGGAACAAGGGGTCGTTAAAAGTATTTGGAAAACTTTTATAGATCGTAGATCATAGATCGTCATGGATTATTGATCTAAGATTTATACCTGACGGACCGAGGAGACTGTACAAAATGGCGACTTTACCGAGTGGCCGTCTTACGTAACGAGCACTGATCAGTCGTACCACTCGGAGACCGTCGTCCTCTCGTACCAGCAGCTTCAAAGAGATAACGAACAAATGAATAATTTTATCTGTATTCGTAATAGAGATCTATGGATCATCCAATATTACCGATTTGCTTGGATATGAATTTGATTGAATTTCTTGCTTTTTTTTCTTTTTGTAATACAATTTTTTATTTATTTAATTTTTCGCCATAAGGACCTAACGATTTTTATTGTTTCGTGTAATCGTTGTGTTAATTTCACGTAAAGGCATTGTTCCTGTTTACTCGATTCTCCTAAATATACGAATCCTTTCAAGGTATTGTCCTTGACTGTAATTAATTCTCGCGGCCGTAACAAAGGCCGTGCGGATTTACGCTATACGTAATACGTACGTAAATTCGTACTGCTTCAGAGACGCTTGAGAGAAAGTCTGACAAATAATTATTATGATTGTTAAATATTAGCCGTCGATTGCATTTCTTGTTATGTCAAATTTATTAGCGACTTGAAGTGAAAAAAATTTTTGTTTTTACGAATAACATTTTTTTTCAAATATAAATAGGTTAAAATAGTTTGAAATTCAGGTTAAAATTTTATTTTGTGCATCGTCAAAAAATTTATCAAACATTATCATTCCGAACCATTCAAAAATGCTGATCGCGTTCCTGCATTATTTACGTTATCTTAGCACCTCATTAAAGCTTATCAGTCCCCAATAGAAATTATAGATAAGCTTGATTCAGGACGTTATCGAAAAAATTATCCGAGTCCCATTTATCCTATCTTCATTCGATCGATAAATCGTCTTGCATATTAAAGTCGAACACTCGAATCGTCCAATTTGAACAAAACTTGATTCGGCACAAAACAATTTTTGTTCAACAAAAACAAGAGAAAGTGCTTAAACTCGATTCAGACTTACAAGAAAACCACACGCGCCTCGTCTGTCCACTGACTTTATTTACTACTTAGAAATCCAACTTGAATCTGTACAAAGTCTATATTCAGTAGTAATACTAGAAGCAGCAGTATCGGTAGTAGTCGACTCTATACTTGTATACGATAATTTAGTATTCCGGTTACAAATGACCTGCATACAAACTACCAACACTGAAGTTCCTAAGAACTTCGCAGAAATTTGGAACAAGTTCAGCAAGAGCTCAAAAGTGACTACAGACACTATTGCCCATATATGTATACTACATACCAGCATTCCAACTATTGGCTATACTATATTTCATAGTGAATAAACTTTACGAAACGTCGTTCAAATTGCCAAAGGATGTCGACGCTTCATTTTGAGCCTTCCCTCCAGACCACTTCCAGAGCTTTTGGTTCGACAACTTTTCCCAAAGTATCAAGCAGTTTCGCCAACTTGCCATTTACCCGATGAACAATTCCACGAATTTCGAATGCCCCACAAAGATCACTAAGAACTTCCAAAAGTGCTTCCGCTTACGTTTGGTTAACTTGAGATCCTAATATCGTTGAAAAACTTTCTTTAGCCCCGTGACAAATGTCCATCCTGGCGTTGTATACAAAAACAAGAACAAAATTTTTGTTCTATCAGTGTCAATTCAATTAGCTCCTCTCGATTAATTGTAAGTATTGCTATAATTTCTAATTCAAAATTGCCGCGCTTAATTCCAAAAAACAGCTGATAACTCGACCGCGAAGTAAGCTTAAGGCCGTATTCACATGGCACGTCATGGCTGCTGCGGCAAGATAACGCGCTGGACGACTAACGAGTCGCGGAGATTATGACAGTCAGTCTGGAATTGCCGGCAGCCAATAGGATAAAGTTAAGACCAATTTCTCGCGCTACCGTTCACAGGTTGGACCGTTCGAGCGTCAGACACGAGAAGCTGCACAATGGATGCAATTGCAGTTGCATACTCGAACG